AAAAGGCAGTTATTTGCCATCTTCCCTATAAAAACTTCTTAAATAATAGAAGAATGTCCTGGCTTCTCCTTCACTCTCCTCCCATTTTCTTCTTCAAAAATGGAATTCTTTGATGAATTCTTCCTTTTTAGTGATATTTTACAGCCTTTTCTCATTCCTTTTCCTGTCTTTCAGACTTCCTTCGAGTCTGCTCACAGCTTTCTGAAATTGCTGTGGCCAGCTGGAATCTCGTTAGTGCTGAATGGAGCAGGACATTGAATGGTCACAATAATGTTCCCAACTGTTAATATTACCCTTTTTTTTCCCAAGAGAATCACTATTACTACTTTTTCAATTTGGTCCATCAAAACCCACAGATCTTCTTGCAATGCTGTTGTAGCATTATCCCATTTGTGTTTCTACATCTTACTTGTCCATCTTCCATGGTCCACTTGGTCCTTGCTGATTTTGGACAACTGTCTTCGAGCAGGAATTTGGAGCTATCTCCTAAAGTTTGTGTTGTCTAAATCAAACCTTTTTCATTGCATGCTACTATAAAGTATCAGATCACTTCAGGGCTTAATTATTTTTACAGTGAAGATGTTTTCATGATCATTGTCCATGTAAAAATATTTCAGTAGGACTGAACCTTGCACAGACCTGTGTGTTAAGACAAGTGAAGCATTCTGTACCAGCAATGAACATTGGATAAGTGAGTTTGAATGCAGGTTTTAATTTATTCTCAAGGATCACCCACATTGATGTTTTCTTCCTTCATACCATAGCTCCTTAGTTCCTTAGAGTAAACAGAAAGTAGAGTAAAAGTACACCCACGGCATCACTCAGGCAAGGCCTGGGCCTAAGCTTAAATGTGGCTTCAGTGTGATTAGTTTGAGGTGACACTTGCTTAGCACATCTACACTCCGTTTTGGCGGGCTGGTTTTCCAGGGTTTCTTTTGGAACTTAATTATCCTCTAGAGGCCTGATGATTCATTGTGTGGTCATTTATCCTGGTGTTTTTCTGCGTACTGAATTGAGGCTGCCTGCTCTGCAATTTCCCAAGGTTTCTTGAAGATTTATTCGCAGTGGTGAGCAGCTTTTGCAGCTCTCTTACGTGTGGGTTTTAACATTGAGCTCACCTAAACATTCTTTACTCTTTTCCTCTCCTTTTCTATCTAAAATGTGCATCACATTTTTTTTTCTTTAAAATGGGAACCAAGGCAATGCAGCATATTTAGTATTTTAATCATATTTGTCATCTATGTATTTACTTCCTTAGTAATGTACTTCTGCTTCCAATCCAATCTCTATAATTCAATCTTTCTCCTGTTCTTTACAATTTCTATCTGATGCCACTAGAAAGCTTTTGACACAGCTCCTTACACAACCAGTGTTGGTTTCATATTATTCTTTGTTTTACTGAAAGTTTTCTTTCAAACGAATATTGTCTCCTCCAGTAACTACCAGCACTCCTGCACTTCTTTATTCTAGATTTTTCCCAAGAGAGCTTCATCCAATTTTCTGTGTGTGTTAAACCCTTTTTGATTCTGATTCTCTGATACAGTACAAATACTCCTCCATGGGAGAGTTCCTGCCATGGGGGGTCTGGGCATGGCTATGAGCAGCTTATCATACAGTCTAAGTGAGGCTCTTCTGTAGAGGGAGCAAGTGGATAAAAACTTAAATTACACTGCTATCTAGAGGCTTTACAGCACCACCAAATTGGGTGAAAAGTCTAGTACAGGTGGTTTACTCTGTCAAATTACACCTATGGTTGGCATATAAATGTCAAGTGAAACACACACACACACACTAAAAACATGCCATTCTTTAAAACAACTCAGTCCATTAGCATTCAGAGACTATTTTTAAAATGCAGCCAGGCCTAATTTTCATTAAGAAATACGCTTGCTGATTTCAGGAAACATGAGGCACTGAAAACTTAGTGTCTTACTTGTAACAAAAGTGGGTTTGGTTCTAGCTCAGTTTCAAAGTGGAAGGCACAGGTGTATTGCTTGGTTTCAATCATTAACAACTCGATCTGTTATGCCTTGAGTTCTGTGCTCCTTTGGCCTAAGGATGTCTGCTAAGGATGGTGAATTGCCGAGAGGAGCACATGGTGCCAAGTTCCCTGTACAGATCCTGGGATAAAAAACAAAAATTACCTTAGACAAAGTTCCAGGTACTCTTGCTTTTGAGTTAGCTCTTTGTGCTGTTGATAAAGATATTGAGGTATGGCTTAAAAAACCTATTTGTGAGCCTCCTGGGCATGAAGGGTAGAAACCTGGGCTTGCTTCTGCTTTTATTGAAGTAAATCCATTATTCAAGCACATCTTGATTAACAGATGAAAAATAGATGCTCAGAGAGGGCTAAGGCCAGTCAAAGTTTAGAACAATCCTGAAGTGTTCCTGCTGGGAGATGCTCTGTGCTCATGCAATGAGAGGAAATCAAGATATGTCTTGAAAGGAGCTAAAACTGGTAAACCTTGGACTCTTACGATGAAACAGCCTAACCTACCAAAGACTCAGTGAGGTTTCAATGAGTGGTTGGTGGTGAATCATAAAACCAAATATACCAACTTATTGCTGCTACTTTTATTACAATTTAAAAAAAAAAAAAGCACACAATTGTGCTAGATGTTCTCAGGAATCCAGAGGGCAAGAGATGTTTAATGAATTTATATTAGTGATGTGCCTTTTAAGTACAGCAAATGGGAGAACGTTGATAGTTGTATATTCAGCTAGTAAATGCAGTCCTAGCAAACTTACATCCTCTCACAGTTTAGAAATTTATTTTCTTTTTCTTTGCATTGCTCAAATCCCCCTCCCAGAGGCTAATTACTCCATCCAACTATGTTTGCAGGATAAAATCCTGCTTTAAGCGTTTTCTTTCATCTTTTTAATGTGCTTTGGTATACACAGTTACAAGTCATTACGGGGGTTGTGTATGGAGCTAGCATTCAGGAAGCTTTTTGAAACTCGGTTTCGGAAAAGCAAACATTTTGATTTTGTAATTGCCGCTAAAGCATAATTTCCACATTCAACACAGCTCTATTTCCAGGGAAGGCAAATGACTTAATGCCTTCTACTTTGGCATCCTTGCCCCACAGTGAAATGCTAATGTCACGTCAACAAATACCAGCCTGAGCCGGACAGGCACTTAGGGGAATTTGTTGCATTGACATTTGAGCACGTTTGTGAGTATTTTGCAGAACTGGGATGAATACAAGCATATACTTACATTAATAATAGTCTCCATGCTTTGCTGAATCATACAGAATAATTCACATTGAAAGGGACCTCTGGAAGTCATCTTGTCTCTACCTCTAATCAAGAAAACACGTCTTTGGCAAAAGGTTTTTTGGAGAATATGCCTCCTCCAAGAGCAGGCTATCTATTGTTAGCTTATTAAATGTCACTGCTTATTAAATGCCAATAGACGGCATGACCTCCAACTGTGTACACAGCCAGCTGGCTGTGTACGACTAACCTGATTTTTAAAGAGCACAGTGTTCCCACCTCACTTGTAAAGGGTGGTTTGCTATTTGCCAAATTATGTTTCTTGTTGCTATCTTTCAGATACTGGCTGCTCATCCAGGCCTCAAACTCATAAGCAGAATGGATGAAATTGTTTAACCCTGGGTATTCTTCACCAAAAGAATCTGTGCTGGCAGCAATAGGCAAACTGTGCCACAAGCAATAGACAGGAGAGGCAGAGTTGTGCCTAATTTGCCTTTCTGTTTAACAGGGGGAACAGGAATCACATCTTGCACTAACCTGGACCCCTTTTTGATGTCAAGAGCATCCATGAGATGCCCCTGGGGTTGCTGCAAGTGCCAGGCTCTCATAGATGGAGTCGTGAAGTTGCAGTCCTCTTGGGTGAATTCCACCCAAACAAAACAGAATGAGATCCTGTCAAAAAAAGTAGCATGAAAGCAACTTGTATTTTATTTCTCAAATTTTCATGCCATTTTTCAAGCTACAGCAATAATTCATCATACAAAATTAAGCAGGTGAACGAGAAATGGGAATAAGTGAAATGCCACCAAAGATACTTACTTTGCAGGTTAGTTGGGAAACAGTTGCTGCAAGAAATGTCCAGGCAGAAGCAATGAGTACAGTAGCTACATGTTGACCTGGGCATTGACGAGTTCAGTTCACATATTAATACTTTAATATTGGACTTAATGAGATCAAATACCAGATTGGCAAGTTCCAGGAACAGGTTTAGGCTTCATAGAAGCAATGAATGCAGCAGTACCAAGGAGGACCCCCTGCTGGACAGAGGGAAGTGTGGCATGTTAAATAAATAAGAGAATTATTGGATTAGTCTTGCTATTAGTTCAGTAAAAGTGGACTCAAATTATCATCCAGTCTTAGTGGATATTCTGATCTACAGATACAATTATTTCTTATATCAACAGTACATGAAAAGGTAGATCTCTGCAGCCTGGGAACCAGGAGATGCAGAGAATCCCTGGGCCAACATAGCAGGGCTCCAGGGCAACCAGGTTCATGTTGGACAAGTCCCTAGGGATAATGCAGGTCCAAGGCCAGGCTGTGTTAACACCATGTGCATGTATTAACAACAGATACCCTCACATGCTGAATATGGACTTATTTATCCATAAATATTGTTCAAGCAATCTATTTGACCCTCTCCATGAAATTCCTAAAAGCGAATAGACAAGGATTCTCCTCTTTATCAGTATCAGCAATAACTATCTGAGTCAATAATCATAGCTTATTTTTTCTCTTACATCAGGATAAATGAGAGGTAATCCCATTTTAATCAGGTCTTCTCTCCCTTTCTGTTTGGGAGAGGTAAGACACTGCTGACAGCAGGGGAGATGCTTCTCATGTGAATTAGTAACAATAAAGGTGGAATTTGACTTCTGCTTATATCAAAGAATTATATGTTACCCAGGCTACATATCTTTTTCTCAACAGAAACATATTGGCATACCTTGGTTTTGTCAGCAATATCTTACAGAGTATGAATTTCCTACCGTGATAAACAAACCTGCCAGGCATAAATCATTGAGATAGTTCATAGCAAGTTTCACTTGACCCCATCGCGGGAGGGCTCTTCTAGATCCTCCATCATCAAATCCTGCTGCTTATTTATCCTGTTTCCTTTCCTAATTGGATCCCTCTCCTCCTTAGCATTTTGACAAGCTGGATCTTGGGGTGTCTGGTAGTTAGCAGCTGGCAAAATCACATTGCTTTGGCCTCGTGGCGAGTTGGCCTCCTTGTGAATCACCTCTCTGCAACAGAGCTGAAGTTTAAAGGCTGCCTGGAAGCCGCGGCGAAAGTTTTCATTAAGGAAGCCGTAGATGATGGGGTTGACACTGCTGTTGAAAAAGGCCAGCCAGTGAGCAAAGGGGTAGATATAGATATTGATGATTTGCAGCTGGGTATCGGACAAGTTAGCATAGTCAGAGAGCATCATCAGAGTCCACAGAGGAAGCCAGGACAGGACGAAAAGCAAAGCCACGATGAGGAGCATCTTGATGACTTTCTGCTTCCTCTTGGACACCAGGTGCCGCTGCTCCCGGCTGCATTTCCCGGCCGCAGGCCCGGCCGTGTTGAAG